GAGTGTGGTGTGAAAAGACAGAAAAGGGAATAAGAAAGTAGCGTCTGAGATGTTTCACAGCTCAACAAAACCACATACTAGTGCTTGAATTTCAGCAAAGCGTCCTTTTAGGTAGACTTCACTTCCATCAAATGACAAATTACAAACAGCAAAAGCTGGCAGACCTCCTGCACAGGCTTCACAACAGCCACACACACAGCCGACAGGTGAATCAACAGCCCTTGAATGCAAAATAGGATCTAATTTTTTCAAAGCCATGGTGGGCAGAATTCCCCACCGTGTCCACGCAGAGAGCAGCCACAATACAGTAACGACAAAAACAGCTAATGAAATTCATAGCAAGACCACCAAATTATCAACAACCCAGCCAGCAGTTAGAAACACCAGGAGGAGGTTCACACCAACAGCCAACCGACCTCCAGCACAAGCAACAAACAATCACACTGAAAGTCAACCGCTGAATGGAAAAAAAGTGAGCCGGTTCTGAATTCTTCAAAGCCTCAGCGGGCTTCCTGACTGTGTCTGTGTGGACCGCAGCAAATATACTGCAGACAGGAAAGAGGAGGAAAGAGCAGTTCATGGCAAAACTTCCAGCAAGAACACAGCCGGCAGTTACTCAAACAGCAGCAGAGAGAAAGTTAGCGAGCAGGAAGACAGGTAGGGTAGACAGAGGGGGGAAAAAAAGGTTTAAAAAAGTGGCATGTTCCTACTTTTTTGACGTGAAGTGGCTGTTAAACAACGACGCCATCCATCCAGTTGTTCCTGGAAAAACAATATTACCTGTTAGCTTAACTTCTTGCAAAACAACGCAAGCTTCTCAGGCAATTAATGCTACAGGAACACAGTTTAGGATAAGGAGGCTAAACAGTTTGCAAGTAAACAGGCACTAAATGACATATCTGACTTACCTTCTTACTTTCTTTAGTTTGATAACTCAGCGAGCGACTGTAGACGACTGTTTCACAGCAGCAAACAGGTTTTCTTAAACAGAGAGAAAGTTAGCATGAGAAAAGACAGGTAGGGTATACAGAGAGGGGAAAGAAAGGTTTTAAAAAGTAGCATGTGCCTACTTTTTCGACGTGAAGTGGCTGTTAAACAACAATGCCATCCATCCAGGTGTTCCTGGAAAGACAATATTACCTGTTAGCTTTTCTTCTTGCAAACCAATGCAAGCTTTTCAGGTTCTTTGACCTGCACCAGTTCAGCATAAGGAGACCAAGCAGTTTGCAAGTAAACAGGCCCTAAATGACCTATCTAACTTACCTTCTCACTTTCTTGAGATTGACCTGCTCAGACTTAACGTGTGACTGTTTCACAGCAGCAAGTGGGTTCTCATAAACAAAGATAAAGTTAGCAAGCAGAAAGACAGGTAGGGTAGACAAAAAAAGGGGAAAAAAAGGTTAAAAAATTAACACTGAAATGACACTGAAATGTTGACATTTCAGAACACTCATGAACAGAAATGACTCTGAATGCAGCCTTGATGTTGCAGAACAAGGCCCCACAATTAGCATCATTAGCCACACCTGTTAGCTGCTGTGAAATGGTCACCTGCAGTCACATGTTGAGTCAGAGCAGGTCAAACAAATGAGAGTAAGAAGGTAAGTCAGATATGTCATTTAGTGCCTGTTTGCTTGCAAACTGTTTGGCCTCCTTATACTAAACTGTGTTCCTGTAGCATTAATTGCTTGTTGTTAGGCAAAGTACCTGAGAAGCATTTTATTAGCTGGCAGGAAGAGAAGGTAACAGGTAATATTGTCTTTCCAGGATCAACTGCAGGGATGGGATTGTTTCACAGCCACTACACGTCTAAAAAGTAGGCACATGCTACTTTTTTTTTTACTTTTTTCCCCTCTTTGTCTACCCTACCTGTCTTTTCACTTGCTAACTTTCTCTCCGTTTAAGAGAACCTGTTTACTGCTGTGAAACAGTCATCTACAGTCACACGCTGTGTCATTAAACTGAAGAAAGTAAGAAGGTAAGTCAGATATGTCATTTAGTGCCTGTTCACTTGCAACTATTTGGTCTCCTATTAAACTGTGTTCCTGTAGCATTTAATGCTTGTTGCAGGTCAAAACATCTAAAAAGCTTGCATTAGCTTGCAGGAAGAGAAGCTAACAATTTATGTTGTGTTTCCAGGAACAACTGGAATGGATGGCGTTGTTTCACAGCCACCTCACGTTGAAAAAGTAGGCACATGCTACTTTATTTTTTTTTTTTAACCTTTTTTTTTTGTTTTCCCTCTCTGTCTTCCCTACTTGTCTTTTCACTTGCTAACTTTCTCTCTGTTTAAGTGAACCTGTTTGCTGCTGTGAAACAGTCGTCTACAGTCACACGCTAAGCCATCAAGCTAAAGAAAGTAAGAAGGTATGTCATATATGTCATTTAGTGCCTGTTTACTTGCAAACTGCTTGGCCTCCTTATCCTAAACTGTGTTGCTGTAGCATTAATTGCTTTGTTGTAGGCCAAAGTATCTGAGAAGCATTTTATTAGCTTGCAAGAAGAAAAGCTAACGGGTAATATTGTCTTTTCAGGAACAGCCGGATGGATGGTGTCTCGTTGTTTAACAGCCACTTCACGTCAAAAAAGTAGGAACATGCCACTTTTTTTAAACCTTTTTTTCCCCCCTCTGTCTACCCTACCTGTCTTTCTGCTCGCTAACTTTCTCTCTGCTGCTGTTTGAGTAACTGCCGGCTGTGTTCTTGCTGGAAGTTTTGCCATGAACTGCTCTTTCCTCCTCTTTCCTGTCTGCAGTATATTTGCTGCGGTCCACACAGACACAGTCAGGAAGCCCGCTGAGGCTTTGAAGAATTCAGAACCGGCTCACTTTTTTTCCATTCAGCGGTTGACTTTCAGTGTGATTGTTTGTTGCTTGTGCTGGAGGTCGGTTGGCTGTTGGTGTGAACCTCCTCCTGGTGTTTCTAACTGCTGGCTGGGTTGTTGATAATTTTGTGGTCTTGCTATGAATTTCAATTGCGGTTTTTGTCGTTACTGTATTGTGGCTGCTCTCTGCGTAGACACGGTGGGGAATTCTGCCCACCATGGCTTTGAAAAAATTAGATCCTATTTTGCATTCAAGGGCTGTTGATTCACCTGTCGGGTGTGTGTGTGGCTGTTTTGAAGCCTGTGCAGGAGGTCTGCCAGCTTTTGCTGTTTGTCATTTGTCATTTGATGGAAATGAAGTCTACCTGAAAGGACGCTTTGCTGAAATTCAAGCACTAATATGTGGTTTTGTTGAGCTGTAAAGCATCTCAAACGCTACTTTCTTGTCTTATGCTACTTTTTTTCCCTTTTCTGTCTTTTCACAACTTGCTCTCATATACAGGGGTGTGTCCAGAGAAATAGCTAGGGGGGGAACAGCTCCTTGACATTTGTAGGCCACCAAAAAAGAATAACCATGAATGGCTGAACTTGCAAAAAGTATGGCTTAAGTTACAACTCTGTATTTTGACTATGCTACAGCTTGCTACTTGTCCTTCTTTGCATTTTAAGTAGCTTTGAGCTAACATCGTAAGAAATGCAATTTTTCAAAAGTTAAAAAATAAACTTGACTTGCATAAAATAAACACTCTACCCCTGCAAAAACAGTTCACAAATATAAACTTAACTCATGTTATTGACGCCTACTTCATGCCGAGGTCAGTGCCCCGCATGGGCAGGGCCCCCTCAGTCAAAAAGCCTGGACACACCCCTGCTCAGATGGTCAATTACGAAGCTACTGAACATAAAGTTTGCTGTAGTATAGAAAAACTTTTTGTTGCAGCTGTATGCTGTGAGAAGTTAGCATTGGCTGCCTTTTACAGGAACTTTTACAGCAGGACTTGGGATGACCAAGACTCTATCGCCATGAGAGGAAGAGCAGAGGACTTCACTTCAAAAAAGTAAGACCATACTTCTTTTTTTAAATCTTGCTTTCTCTCTTTTTTTCTGTGGCATACCTGTCACTCTGCTCGCTTGCTGGCTGGTTGCTTTCTAAAGGCTGACTTTGCTCTCTGCTGCTGTTGGAGCTGTGTAACGCTGGCTGTGTTCTCGCTGATGATTCGAAATGTCTGCTATGAACTGTATCTTGTATTTTGCTGCCTGCTGTGTTGTTTTGTTACCACTGTCTGCACAGACGCGGTCAGGGGGAAAGCCCGCCGAGGCTTTAAAATGTTTAAACTGAAAAGTTGTTCTGCCACTTGTTGACTGGAGTTGATGGTGAGACTTTTGGGTTGTTGTTGTTGCTGGTTTTGTTGTTGTGGCTGTTCATATTCTGTCCTATATGATCGCAAAGTCCTTGTTTTACTTGCTGTAACTGTAGTTTGACTTCTTTGACTTCCAGTAAAAAGACGGAGATCTTTAACATATACCCAGCCCGGAAAAGTACAGTGGCCCTTAAGGTCAACATCATACCTGACATGTACACAAAGAAGAAAAATAGATAAAAAGTTAAATAGCCAAAAAATTCATCAGAACACAAAAGCATTCAACTTTACCAGAAAATATTTTATACAACCAAAACAACATACAACCCCAAACAAATGCAGATTCAAAAATAATTTTTACATTTAAAGAAATGACAAAAATATTTCAGAAAAATCAAAAGAATGCAAACTTTTATGTGAGTGCAAAAAATCACAAATTATATTTTACAACATGCACAAATATTGCCTGAGTTAAACATAATTTGCAAAAAAACCTCCCATTACTTCCTTCCTATCATCCTTCCCGTCTTTCCTCCATTTCCTTATGTCTGTCTGTCTGTCTGTATGTCTTTCTTTCTTTCTGTATCTCTCTCCTTCTCTCTCTCTCTTTTTTTCTTTTTTTTCTCGCCTGATTTTTGACTCTAGAGAAATCTGTAGTTTCAGTCAAACCCTGTGAAAACTTGTTGTGCTTTTTGTGCTCATGCACTCTGTCTGTAATGACTCTTAAGGGCCTCTGTAGAAAATTCTTCACAGAGCTTCCTATTTTTTGATTTACTCGTGTTTCTACCCAAGTATCCACTCTCTCTGTCCTTTCACAGCATAGCTGTCCCACTAATGGCTTTTTGAACCCCAGATTCCTCAGCTTCCCTTTCTGTTGACATTGAGCATGACTTGTGGCACACTGTGAACCTCAAACACAAGTCGCTCCTTGATGGTAGCTCATCCTGGTTGCCTTCTGAATTCTCGCTCAGGGCTACTAGCCAGTTAAAGGCCGACCTCGGGGGCGTCTTGTCAATCGGAGCTGTTGGGATTGTTGGAGCTGCGTGAATCATGAACGCTTTGATGAGTCCTTGAACGACCTGCGAACACCGGCTCATTCTGCGGATAGACGGCAGTCGCCCGTAGGGTGAATTCCACTTTTGTTTTTCATGAGCCTAATGAGCGCGATGTTCTTGACGGTCTATTTCCAGTCACCTCAGATGAATGTTCTTCATAATGTTTGCTCTAAATGCGCCGTACGTCTTGATTGAGATTACACCGATCCCTCTCTCCTTCATGTTTATTTCTGGGATCTTCCATATTTGCCAACGTCGGTATACAGATGAGAAAGTGGAGCTCATTGCTGGGCAGGCAAATACAATGTAAATGTTATGAAATGAATCCAGATGAGTTACACGTGGCTCCAACAGGCTCATTTCCATAATTAGCCGATTGTATTTGGAGAGTGATTCATTTAAATCTGCTCACTGTTGAAATATGCATGTCTTGAGTCATTTTAAACAAGGACTCCTCTCTAATAGTGTCAACATGCAGGCTCTGGTTTCCATGAAAATAAGGATACATCTCATGAGCTGATGAATGAACAGCTTTGATTCGTCATTTAGGTTAAGCTGGAGGATCTCCACTAAACAGCATGAGGCCTATACATCAAGAGGAGCGTGCATGGATGACTAAAAAGCATCAAGTTTCCATTAATATTCACAAATCTGAGACCCATCAGCAAGTATACAGTCAGTATTCACTCATACAGTTTGGGACAAACATACTAGAGTCAGTGAGAAGTGCTCTGACGCCTCTGTGTTACAATACTGAGACATCATGTCGTCGCCGGTGTTGATCCTGTTTTTCCCTTTTCCAGAATGAAAACATGATTGCAGTTTTGCATTACATGTTCCACAAGGGCAGAGCGAGTGATGAAATATTAAATCACCCACTCCTGCTCTGAAGTCGTAGCCTCTCCGAACCTTCAGTTTGACAAAAAGCTGTTGTCAACTTTTGCCTCAGAGTGTTTTTCTCGTAGCCATTTTCACATGTTCAGACTTACACCCCTAAAGGATCAAAATAACTCTGTGGTTAGTTTGGAAAGTAATGATTTAAATGCCTAAAAACAGAGGTGAGGAACCGTCAGGCAGAAGTCACTGTGGTTACTGAGCAAACATGACACCTGTCCTTCCTTCCTCACGTTTCTCTCATTTCTTCCATCTGACCTCCATCCAACTTTCATTTCCTTCTTTCCTTCTTCCTTTTCCTTCCAGCACCTCCATTCTCTTATCCTGTTTTTTTTCTATTTTCTGCTCACTGCCCTCCCTACCTTCCATTTCTACTCTTTCTTCTGTCCTTCCTTCCTTCCTTTATTCCTACCTACATTCTTTCCACTCCTCCTTTCTTCCTTCTATCCCACCTTCCCTCCCTAATTATTTTCCTTTACCCTACATTCCTTACACTATTATTTTTTTCCCATCCTCAACTTCTTCCTTCCTTCCCTCCATCCATCATCCTAACTTCCTTTTACTCTTCACTTCCTTCCGTCCTCCCATTCGTCCTCACTTGTTTCCTTCCTACCGTCCTTCCTTCATCCCATTCTTCCTCCCTTGTTTCCTTCCTTCGTCCCATTCTTTTCCCAGTTTCCTTCCTTCCTGACATCATCCCATTCTTTCTCCCCTTGTTTCCTTCCTTGCATCATCCATTCTTCTTCCCTTGTTTCTTCCTTCCATCCTCCCTTGTTTCCTTCCTTCATCCCATTCTTTTCCCCATTTTCGTTCTTACATCATCCCATTCTTCGCCCTTTGTTTCCTTCCTTCCATCATCCCACTCTTCCTTCCTTGTTTCCTTCCTTCCATCATTCCATTCTTACTCCCTTGTTTCCTTCCTTCCATCATTCCATTCTTACTCCCTTGTTTCCTTCCTCCTATCATTCCATTCTTACTCCCTTGTTTCCTTCCTCCTATCATTCCATTCTTACTCCCTTGTTTCCTTCCTCCTATCATTCCATTCTTACTCCCTTGTTTCCTTCCTCCTATCATTCCATTCTTACTCCCTTGTTTCCTTCCTCCTATCATTCCATTCTTACTCCCTTGTTTCCTTCCTCCCTTGTTTCCTTCCTTCCATCATTCCATTATTACTCCCTTGTTTCCTTCCTTCCATCATTCCATTCTCCCTCCCTCTTTCTTTATTCCTTCCCTCCATCCTCCCTTATTTCTTTCCTTCCTTTGCCCAATTCTTATTTCTTCCTCTCTTCTTTCTTTTCTCTCTTCCTTTTTTTTCCCTTCACTTTTTCTTCTGTCCTTGTTTCCTTCCTTCCATCATCCCATTCTTTCTCCCTTGTTTTTCCTTCCTCCCATCATCCCATTCTTCTTCCTTCCTCTCCTGTCTTTTCTGTCACTTTTTTTGCTTCACTTTTCCTTCCATCCTTTCTTCGTTCCTTCCTTCCCACATGTAAGTCAACGTCAATAGCACGCTGCATCATTTCTGTATCCTTTGCATCATTTTTAGTGGAACTCAAACATGAAAGTAAGTCAAGCATTAAAAGCATGGAGTAACTTTTGGAGTTATCAGCGATCAGCAAGAGTCCTCAATAATTACTTTTGGCTATAATTTCAATTAACTCCACGGGTGATTCGGTGTCTAAACTCTCTAAATCCTGCCTTATCTCTCCGCCTCCTTTTAGGAGTCTGTTGTTCAGAAGATGATGAAATCTCTCTCTGTGCTGTATTTGTCATCAGCCTTCCTCCAACATATGCTAAACTAATTAACCAAGGTGTAAATTACCTATTAACTCCACAGGTATCTGTCAGGTTATCGCAAATAAAGGTAATTTACAGAGAGCTGAGCCTCGAACAGCTGTCAGCATTGTTGAATCTGCCTCAGGGTGCATCATTTCAAGCATATCTGCAGTAACTCTTCTTTCAAACCGGGGAGGGCTCCTTCGTTAGGCCCACTTGGTTAATCAAAGCTGTTTTAAATTTGGGTGCACACCAGAGAACCCCTCTGGGACCGCCTAAGCTTTGGTCCTCTTTCAAGTCAACTGGCTCAAGTTTATTAGCGGCTAAAATTTGAGCTAACTGAAGAAAATGACCTTAAAGTATTAAACAAGGATTTCTACCACCATTGGAAACGTCAGCGGGTTAAAGAGCGGTGTACATTAGGAGTTATAGTTGTCATGCATGTCAAGAAGGGCCTTCTTTTTGATTGGAGCAAAGAATTATGGGTCATTTTTCCAGTCAAAAATGATGAAGGTTTTGACAGTAGTTGAAACAATAATAAAAACCAACGTCTCTTTCCAACTCCTCAAGGGATATTAAACAATAGGCTATAACTATAAAACAACCAATAAAACCAAGTGAAATGTTTCGACAGCTCCACGGCTCTGAATGCCTTTTAAGTCTCGGTTTTGCCAACCTGGTACAGAAGGGAAAATCCTGCAAGAGGACAGACAACACTGATATACAAGAGGCAAAGCTCAGGCACACAGCTCTCACAGATGGCAGGAAGGAGACGCACACACACACACACAGAGGGAGAAAGAGACAAGGACAAGACAGAAGGAAAGAGAGGAGAGGAGAGGCTGGATCTCCTGGAGGACGGGGATCCAGATCCGAAACATCTGGAGCGATGCACTGGCAGCCAAGAGAGGGGTAGAGGGAGGGACAGCCGGTGGTCCTGCTGAGGAAAAACCTGAGTGGGAAGAGAGGACTGTGAACAGATATAGTTACAGTTGTAGTTTTGTATTTAACTCAGCTGGATCGCCAGTGCTCCCATGTGACACCATTTATATTGTTTAGTTTCTCGGGAACTGTACCATGTGTCTCTACAGGACCCTTTTGGCGATCTGTTGAGGGTTTCCAGGCATTTCTACACCTCCGACAAGGTTCACAATCAAGCCACAAACAAAGGTGTTCGATCAAAGACGTTTGATGGTAAATCTGCAGTGATATATCGGTGAAAACATGATTATTTATCATATTGTTGTGATTACAAAAGATCGCTATCGCTAAATGCCGCTAATGTCTTCCGGGTTTGACAAGCGGTTTTGATGACATCTTTTTCTGTCAAACTTTCAACCAATTACATGGTCTCTAATTTTCTATTGTTCAGTGTTGTTTTCCCCTTTTTTTTTCCCCACGACGAAGACGTGACGTTGACAAGCTAAACATAAGTCTTAGATGACTAAAATGTGACGAGACAAATGTGCGTTTACGTTGACGAGACTAGACTAGACGAAAACGTTAGTTTTGGACGACGAACAGAGTTGCAAAATTCATGAGCATTTAGACGCTAAACATATATTCTTCAGTGTTTTCATTGACGATGACGCTGACGATCATTTTCATCAATGTCATTGTCAACGAAAACAACACTGCTATTGTTCCCTTGACGGTAGTGTCCAATAAGAGGCAACCAAAGATCAACAAGAGACAAGAAAGTTCCCTGCTTGTCTGCAAAATATGAAAAAATGGTCCTCAATGTTTGGAAACAAGCAAAGAAGAGATTATGAGCAGTATGATGTGGCCCTCTGTCTCATCCCAGACAGGATCTGCTTCAAGGAGTGAGAAAAAACAACTGGAAATAGCAAAAAAAAAAACACCTGGAAGAATAAGTGTAAATATGTAAATGGTTTCTGTTGTGTTTTTGTTTCAATCCCAATATTTCATCTCTTGATAGCCAAGACTTGAGAGAATGATGTGACGGTGAGAAAAGGCTTGGTCACTGTAGATTTATGTGTTTTTGAGCAAAGTCCTGTTGGTGTCAATGGACTTTGATGGTTCTGAATCTACAGTCACATTCATTTTACGTAGTTTTTGCACCCATAAACTGACAGCTGAGGTTGTGCTGGAAAAAAAAAAAAAAGATGCTTATATATTTGCTGTGCTTGAAAGGATACAGTTGCGGACTAAAAATAGCTAAATATAGCTGGGAGTTCTAAGGGTTAAAGGCTCTTGACGCCAGCAAGAAATGAAAGAGATGAGGAGTCCCGTTAAGTTAGTCCTGAAACCAAATCCTTAAGTAGTCCAGGTTTTAGTGGAATTTGCTGTATTTTAATGCAGTATGCGGCAGGTCTGATCAAGTTTAGATGACAGAATTGACTGGATTTGAAGAGGTTTTGAGGGCAAAACACCTGCTTTTTCACACTGTAACAAGAGAGAAAATCAATCAAACATCTTGATTGTGTCCGTATATTTGACCACTTGGCTTTGTTTTCTAATTCCAATTTCACAAACTCTAACATTTCCTATATTGACACCAACTTTAAGGTATAGTTTTAACAACTACTGAGCATTTTAGCAAGACCAGAGAAGCCAAATAGATTTTCTGTTGGGTGTGGGAGTTATCAGTGAACTACGGAGTGAAAAGCCACCCTGAGATCAATTCAGGTGAAGTTTGAATCCATAGAAAGCAGAAGATCACGAACCGTTTAAGTGGATGCAGTCCCAGCTGAGTAACGAGTGCAGAGTGAAAGCGTTGAGGACTAGACGAATGTTTAATATAAGGGCAGAAAGTTTCTTTCGTACTTTAGAAAGAAAGGAAGGTTAGAGACGGTGACTAATTATTCAGCAACCCCGAATCAGAGTGTGGTTTCTGAGGCGGAGGTTCAACGACAGCAGTCAAATACAAGGTTTTACAGATGGTGCCGGTTGTAAGTCATGAATTAAGTATTTAAGATTGTAGGTCCCCAAAACAGTAAGACGGTTAAAAAATTTAGCTGGCAGACAGCAGAAACCAGGTTAAGAGGCCAGCATGAGCTCCTTTCCTATCTGTATTTTTCTGCTCCATCAGCATTAGTTTGGATGAAGCTGCCAAAACAACATAACCTGTTTTAAAAGGTTTCCCTGGTGATTCTGTTCTCATGTCAGGGAGGCTGTTTAAAGATTAAAGATGCGACAAAACCAAGAAAGTGAAAGAAAATGTGGAGGTTCTCTCTGGACGTCACACAGTGCATTGAATAGTACTTTACAGCAGGTCTACTCTAACATATACCTCAGGTAAATGAGAGAGTGGTTGGTAAATATACCTGGGTGGTCTTAAATACTCATACTCTAGGTGTACTTCATATACCCGGGCAGGGGGGGGAGTGTTTTGGCTGTGTTCCCTGCACATCAAGAATACTTGGGCAGAGTTTCAGTTAAAGGCAAACATGACCGTGCAATAAAGCACGACCATAAACTTGATTTATGTGGTACTTTTTTAACATGTTTACAAAGAGGTTCAGAATATAGAGATAAAATTAAATGGATAAACTATAGAGACACAACTTTTTTTAAGGAAATTAAAAAAAAGAAATTTAAGAAGTTAAAATTGATAAATGTTAGTTGATATTTATATGGAGATTAAAAAAAATGCATAAATGGTTGACAAAAACAATTGAGCAGATGTAAATACTTGCGCCACATGCCTAAGTATACTCTGTCTGTTTAGGGTTTAATTTAAACGTTAACATGACCGTGCAATAAATCTATATCTGTACTTGATAATATTGGCAATAAACCTGATTTATATGACACTTTTTTAAACATGATTATAGAGAGCTTCATAACATAAAAATAAAATAGAATAGATAAACTATAGAGAAACCTCTATTTTACAAAATAAAAAAAACATATTAAAGTTTAACAAAACAATGTAATATATACACATTCAATATTAGTCATATTGAGATTCCAGATGATCGATAAAAATGCATAAATGGTTGACAAAAATACTTGGGCAGGTGTTAAATTTAAAAAAAGAATAAATTTAAAAAGTACAAAAAAAGTATATAATAAATACATATTAGTTATCAGTCATATTGAGATCAAAATTGGTAGGTGTAAATACTTGCACCACATGCCTAAGTAGACTCTGTCTGTTTAGGGTTTAATTTCAAAGCTAACATGACCTTACGATAAAACCACACCTGGACTTGATTAACTTCTACATTATGCTGCTTAATCAGTATAAATGGAGATTGTGAATATTGTAGTACGCTTGGGGCAGATGTAAATACTTAATCAGTCTGCTCAAAACCCTTTCTGTGCGAGAAATACTGGAAAGAGTTTTTATCTGGGCGTGCTGGATACTTGTTGAAGTTTTGTCCATAACGCATAAATAGTCCCATAACTTGGCAGCATTCAGGTCTATCTCCTTAAACCCTTCATGGAATACAACTCAAAACCGAAAATCATTTCTGCCATTCCAAACCAGTTTTTTATATTTCGTGGCCAGTCGTTGTTTCACTACGGCCCAGACTTAAACAGACCTGGCAGTTTTAGCTTTGTGTATATATTTGAGTCCCAACTCGCAAAGTCACTTCTTTTGATGAAAGCTGTGTATAAAGTGCCCCAACCCAATGTCTTCTCTGCCCCCTATCCACTTTTCTGAAATATTCAAGCAGCAGTGAACATCAAGGTCAGCCCTGGATTTCAAAGCGATCTCTTATTTTTCTGATAAAACTCAAGCAGGAGGAGGAGGCGGCCTTCTTCAGAGTTATACCGTTGAAAGCGTTCCCTTCGAATACATACTTGTTTTCTTAGCCTTCATCACTCTGGCAGCCACCCTCCTCGCAATGTGATGTAAACAATGTCGACTCCATCTCATTATGTAGTTTTAACAAGTACTTTTCACATAAAGAAGTGTAAACTTCAAAACTCGCACGTTATAGTGCAGCATGTCTTTTGTTCTTGGCCGTGGTTTTCGAAATCACACTCTGTTATGTAATGCCTTCTCAATGCTTCGACTTAAGTGTGATTAAAAAGCTATAAAAACAGAGTCTGCAACACATATGGTGTATGAATCAGAATGCAAATCTGTCACAAACATTCTACTTTGGTAGATCTGAGCTTTTCCGTAATGATATTACGCCTCCGAGGCTGTATCACGGTTCTAAAATACAACAGGGGGGCAAATGTTTGCTCCAGTATCAAAGTGACAAGCAATTTGGTTCGGACCCAGTCACATAAAGCGAGCACGGACATGTGGAGAAGACCCAGGGAGCGTCTCCAATCTGGCGGCGTCCATCACGGCAGATGGAGCGGACCATCAGCCAAGCGGCCTCTGTTGCAGGGCGCCATTCACAAATAGCGCGGTACGCCACGACTCCACGAGCTGATTAGGAAGCAAGACACAGGCGGAGATGAATCGGCCGTCGCCCGCTGCGTCGCATTAGAGGACACGTCTGCTTTTTTCCCTTCTTTCAAACGACAGAGGAATTGTCTACCCCCTTTTCTGCTGTGTTTTTTTTTCTTTTCATACTCCTTGTAGACATGAGTAATGGCCGCAGAGATCAAAGTACCGAGTGTCAGTTGTTCCACAGGGAGCAGACACATGCGTGGGATTGAGAGTTGGCTCGCTAATACGCCGCAGACTGTTCGTGCGGAGGGGGGTCGCGGGATGGCAGGAGGCAAGGACTGTTTTCCCAGATACACATCCCAGCGGGGGATCCATACAGAGTGATCGATTCTTCTTTGATGTCATGAATAGGTTTCCAAGTCCAATTTTCCCCGTGATTTGGCTTCATGACCTTGACGCACAATTAATGGTATTGTGAAATGTAATTTGTTGCGCATGTGACGCCTAATTGAGCATAAAAACTGTTGAATTTTCTGCACTTTATTAGAGATCCTGCTATCCTTCGTGGAAAGTTGAAGTACTCTTGCTAGATCGAGGGAAGTCATTGGCCTGATTTGACGAAAAACAAGCAAAGGAAGGTTGACAATGTGGTGTTGTAGCAATCTATCGTAATATTTCTAATACTGATGCCCCGTTCTAGTTATTTATGTCCCTCAATATGTAAAAAAAAATAGGCCCCGTGTTTGGAATGACTGTGATCAGCCTTTAATGTGAGCAATTTTCTTTCATATCCTTCTAACAATCGACCAATGGACAGCTGGACACTGCAAATGGAGTGCTGCAGCAGCCAGCAGAAAATTAAATATGGGCGCTTCATCCAGCAAGTCTTTAACCGTTTGACCTTTATCAGACGTAATTTTCAACAGGGGAGGTTTATCACACTCCACATGGACCCCATGCATAAAACACCAGTGGTTAACTGGGCTCTGTGAGCCATTTCTTCTCTGCATTCCTTTTACAAGATGAACCCTATCTCTGCGCTTCATAAGATGCAGTGTGATCAGACTCCAGCACAGACAGCGAGCGCTAATGTTTTTTGATGATGAGCACCGGGCGGCATCAAAGCCATCAGCACAGCCGACCGCGGTTATCACTTTCCCCTGTTTTACATCTTTGGTGATCGACAGTCAGTGCCAATCCAGTGGGGTAATTGGCCGTACATCTTCGCCAGTGAAAAGGTTAATTAGCGCGCTATTATGTGGATGATTGAAAGCCATGATAAATAATGTAATGGGTTTTAGTCAAGATTTGTTTTGCTGCAGTTTGCTAGGACCAGGAACTTTGACTGTTCTCACCATAAACTGATATGACCCCCAATTTCAAACAAATTGGGATACCATGTAAAAATGTCAGTCTGGTATGTTTTTAATGTATCATGGATGAAGAAATCAACAAATGATGTGCTACTTCACGCTGAATTCTGAAATTGTCGAACAATTTAGGCACACAGCCGCTCACAAAGTGACGAATCTTGTCCCATCTTTACTTCTTAAATGCCTATATTTAACAAGACGGTCTGACTGCAGACCTCCACTGTTAGGACCAACCTCCACTGAGCGAGCCGGAAGTCAATTTGAAGCCTTTCAAAATAAAAGCAAGTACAACAGGAGTAGTTTTTATTTATTTGTTATTATTTTTTATTTATTACGTCGGAAGTTGATTGGAAGCCTTTCAAAATAAGAGCAAATATAACAGGAGTACTTTTTTAACATAGGAACTTGATTTCAAGTCTCTCAAAATAAAAACAAATTTAACAGGATGTTTTTTAAATTTTTTTTATTATATTTTTACGTCGGAGGTTGATTTGAAACCTTTTAAAATAAGAGCAAATTCTACGGGATGTTTTTTGAAATTATTATTATTATTATTTTAAGTCTGAAGTTGCTTCTAAGCCTTTCAAAATAAAAGCAAATATAACCCAAGTACTTTTTTTATATCGGAAGTTGATTTTTAGCCTTTCAAATTAAAAGTTACGAGACTGGAAAGTACGTATCTTTTGTCTCATGTATATATTTTATTTCCTAGGGCTTTATTTTATGTATGAAATGTTAATATGATTATTTTGTGTATGTATGTGTTCAACAACGAAAAAAATACAAAACGTGATGGCCGCTTCAAACAAACTGCAGTGTGTGGGACAAAAAAAGTAATCTTTGATTGCATTAAAAGTGATAGTATGGAAATTCTCAATCTTTTTGCTCACTATTTAGTTCAAAATTCCTCATAGGAGCTTTAAATACATAATCAAACAGATGGATTGCATGGCATTAAAAGTCTTGTTTATATCACAGCTAATTTTAGAAATGCACAGGGAAAACTGTTTATTGGTGTAAGGGCAGGCCGGGCACCTTTTTACGAGCATTAAGGTGAATGAATGTGTCAAATTTGGTTCTCTCTAATGGATGCACGCCACACTTTTTCCAAACTTGATTTTGCACACGTCCAAACGGCCGACTGAGTCCAATATGATTTCACATTTCATAGCACTGAGGCCATTATCGCCATTTTTAATCATAAAGAGCCCTCTGGATACAACAAAGTGGCTTTTAAGAATTAAATTCCACACAATATGTTACACCAGACAACATAAAACAATCAATTGTTTAGCGTTAGTCAGGCCTGTTGGATTAATCACTGTGACAGGCTCCATGAGATGAACCCATTCCTTCAGTATTGTTGTCCCCAAGACGTGGATATCCTGCAGAAACAGCCCTTCATCTCATTGTCGGTCCCAGCCCACAGTTTAAAAAAAAAAAAAACAGGCCATAAACGGTACATAATTGTTTGAATCTCAATTATGTAGGCAGTTTGTAATCCACGCCAGAAGGGGACTGCTTAATCACAGCAGCGGGTGAGATATCACTATGAACAGACATTTGTCTGCCACGTCTGTAATCTAAAGCCTCATTCCCGATCATGATCACATTAAAGCCCACACATACAACAAGCGAGGACAGGGCAGACTCAAATATTTTTCATGCTACTCATATGTTTTCCTGATAAAAATTTCCATGACATCCTGTGGAAGAATTATGGTCATGTATAATTCATACCAAACAAGCCCGAGGCCTTTTAATAACGTGTGAGCGCACAGGCAGGTGCATTTAGAATTAGCATGCATGTGCCATATGTGAAAACTCCTCTTTTCCTTAATCAGGAAACACTTTTGAAACAAATTAAGTTTGACCCTGGGATAAAGTGGATAAATAAAAGGAGCTTTAAAAAGAGGAGCGCACCTAAACAGTGGTGTGCTGATACCCCACAGCCCCCGGGCACAGCTGTCACAGTCATTTAAAGCTGCGCTGATCAGAGGTCATGATACAAAAAGGCAGGAAAACAGCATTACAGTTAGCTATGCGAGGCAGGCAATGACCCTACCCTCGAGAGGCACCCTGAGGTGGGCGTGTTAATGAGCCCCTCACTGCTACTAACAGTGACCCCTTTTTATTATGAAGGAGGAAAGAAGGCAAATACCAGAGGAAAAATCGGGGGAAAAAAGCCACAATAACATGAGCTGTCCTTGTTATGATCCACACAACACACCTGCTCAGAGGCAAATGGTGATGCACAAATACTGCCTTGGAGAATTTAAAAGAAGATACCCACCGGGGCTAGTCCAGGCAGGCCAAAATGGGAACTTTTCTGTGCTCCACTGGCCTTCGCTGCTGCTCTCCCTGCATTAGCTTCTAAAACAGAGATTCCGTGGCCTTTCTTTTTGGCTCACAGTAGCCATGGGGTTACTTTTTCAGGGTCGACTAATCCTCCTTTAAAGGTATGTTTCGGCGTAAAATTAAGTTAGGGTCAAACACACCTTAACATCAAGTTAGACACACCCGTCCAGAGATGAATGTTGCTGACCGCTTGCTTCTCTAGTTATACCAACTTTGGTAATGACCGCAGATAGCAATACAGAGAGCCACGCGCTCAACCAAACAGCCACTCTATAGCCACAAATAATGCTCAGAACAGCACCTAACTTCATCAACAGTACATATAGGGTCCCAGCCACAGCACTAGCCACCAATCATCTTTTAAGCTTTGCCTTATTCCTTTAGCAAAGAGACCTAACGCAACTCACCTACTCTCTTCCAGCAGCCGCTTGTTTGTACAGAGACCTCTGGGACCTCTGGGACCCTATATGTACCGTTGATGAAGTTAGGTGTTGTTCTGAGCATTATTTGTGCCTATAGAGTGGCTGTTTGGTTGAGCGCATGGCTCTCTGTATTGCTATCGTACGGTCGTTACTAAAGAGAAGCAAGCGGTCGGCAACATTCATCTCTCAACGGGGTGTCTAAAACGGTGTTACGATGTGTTTGACCCTAACTTAATTTTACATCTGAGTATCCCAAAATAAAAAAATAACATTTTCTAACATTCAAAGTAGAAGTTGTGGCGACTTTTAGAAACCAGCTAACTTCAACTTTGCTGTGACTGCACTCATCTGCGAGCTTGTGCCATGTCACCCGCTTTGACTCATCCCTACAATTAAATCCGTACAGCATCTTTTCAAAAGTGGAGCAAGTGCAGTACTGTAGGAGTTTATGTGAAAGGAGTCTCTTCTTTTTCTGTTTTTCTGTTCAAAGTGATTCCTCTAGTTAAGTCAGTTTCCCACACGAGCCGAACTTTGGCTGTCGGTTGCCGGGGTCACTGTCTGACTTCTTGTCTCCAAGCTGTCTGCACGAGCCCTCGGCTGGGCTGATGAAATCCAAACACATTTATGAAAAAGAAAAACTTGCCTGAGTCTTACTAGTTTGAGTCATTAGCAGGTCCAACAGTTCCTGGCTTTTACCCCTTTTACACTGCGAGGATAATTACAGGGATGGTGCAACAGAGTATCGGTGTGGTAGATGATCTCAGCTTGGGTTCAGACGTTTTCTTTCTTGATGAATCAGAAGCGAAAGAAAACACATCGAGCCAAAGCCTTTTGAAACGAGGACAAAACACTGCTAAGAACTCTTGTGACATTTCATTCCTTCACCTTTTTACAATCGTGTTTTTTAACAGGGAAGCTTTGTCGGTGTTTGTATTTACCAATTAACCTTCACTCTTTCAGCATGTAGCATTGAAAGGATAACACAAAGTTAGTTCAACAAACTAATGTCAGCCTGATACAAAAGCCAACAGAGGACTCTCTTGGAGTTTTTAAATCACCGTCTGTGACTCCAGGCTGAGGGACAACATCAAGTTGATCAGTCATGTTTTACCATGAAGGTAAACAACACTTTCACATGAACAGGTCCTGAAAATGACCCTTGTTGAACCTATAGACTCTGATTAGACAATTTAATTTCTTAATCAGAAGAAATAACCTTGAAAAAAGTGATTTTTGTTTGTTTGTTTGTGCTTTAATCTGAAAGCCAAACCCTTCACTCATGGTGAACCTTGGCTTGTAAACAAAGGCTCATTCAGATATATGGGTTTGCTCCTTTTTCTTGGCACCTTCCCTAGGGCATTGGATACCACCTACCAAACAGAATTTATCAAGATTGTCACTGATGGTTAACTTTGTTTTTGTGGCTCAAAGACATCGTAATTTCAGTCTGTTTTTATAACCGGCTAAAAACTCCTTATAGGACGTATAAGAAGTTTGAAAAGAATGGTAAAACTGCTGTGAAATTTGGTGCTTTACAGATGAAAAATGATTTTCACTGACGCCTCCCAACTAAAGACTCAAAAACCTCTCAGTATCTGTGAGATGAACTCAGATGATCTTTTTCAAAGCCTTGTTTTTACTTCGATTTGAAACGGAAGCCGTGATTTTTTTTTTCCCCTCTGAGATAAACAAGTATTTGCACATGCCGACGAATAGATACACCATTGGGAGGAACTCGCTAATGATGTGAAATATCACACTGAGTCGACTCCTTTCAATTTAACTCATGTGAGGACAGTCTTGTTGACATCTCTGGTGTGTTGCTTCATACCATTCAAACATGAGGTTGATTCATAATATTAGAGTGAATGACAAAGCCAAATGTTGCAGCTCTGTGCAGTTTGCTCTTGTTTTGTATCCAGCTATAGAAGTGAGCTGTCAGCATCTCCACTGTTTAAGTTGTGTCTTGTGAGGTTGACTCATAATTTACATTATACAGCTTGTAGGACAGCTAGACCAAAACTTGACTCTATATTTGTGGACATAGTTATTACAGTCTGGAGTTGAGCAAAAAAGGAAAAGGACCCAAAATGCAGAATTTAAACAAAACAAAACAAAAAATATTAAAAAAAATAAAAAAAAAATGAAAAAGCAACAAAGAGAAAAATCCAAAAGCCAAAATCCACAAAAATCACTGGGGGAAAAAAGCACAGGAAGCAACAAGGGACACAAGCATATGCATCGACATACACATACAATGGACCAACAAAGAAACAGGGGAAAACAAGGACTATGTTCACACAGGCAAACGAGCAACAGGTGAGGCTAACGAGCAACAGGTGAGGCTAACGAGCAACAGGTGAGGCTAACGAGATACAGGTGCAGACGATTACAGAGGAGGCAAAACTGAGGAAGTAAAACAAGACTATACACATAAGAATGGACTCCTAAGAAAAAAAAACAGGGAGAACTGAAGACTGATCTAAAGAATAAAATACTGAGTGCGTTTACATGCACAGCTTAATTGGACTAAGATTTTAATTAGTTTTTTTTCGCCGAATCTGACTTCTCTCCTTGTCCGCATATACATGCAGCTGAGAAAATCGGATTATTGACATGAGCGTGTCCTCCTCCCCAAAACTAGGGGGTGATATGGGTCTTTACAGTAGTGCTGTTTCTGCTATGGACAGTCGCGTATATGTGACCGTCCGAATACTTTAAAATGACGATTTCTCTCAGGAGGGAAAGCATAATGACGCTCTCCTTGGCGTCTTAATCAGAGTTCTCTGACTGCAATCAGAGTTCTCAAAAACTTCAGCACTACAGTTGTCTGGTCTTAATCGGAGTAAGGCGATAATTTGGTTTTCTTGGGTCTCATGTTAACGTACCGACTAGGGACATGAGGGAAACCGGGTCAGACACAAACTGAAAACTCACAAGACTACAGGGAAACAAGAACAATAGGGAACAGAAACACTAGGAAAAAAACACTCAAATAAGCAACATGTGGGGAAAACTAAATTAACAAAACATATCATGACACCCATTTCCCTTTATGTATCCAACCCCTGAACCTTTGTAGAAACAGTGACGCCAGAGTTTGACCCTGACATGACTTATAGAAGCTATGGTGTAGTTATCACCAACTTTCACTGCTCATGGTCGTTAATACCACTGGTAATGATCTAAACATCATATTTGCAATGTCTGCAACAACATCCTGCATAGAAGTGCTATTTGCTCTGCAGTGCGGTTTTGAAAGCATTTCACTCTTTGCATCAGCTTAGAGAATTAGGGCCTGTGTCCACTTACACTGGCAGTACCTATTTCCATCTTGTCGCTGTGTTTTCAATGCTTGGCACACTAGAAACCCTAAAGGTTGGCTGTTTCAAAGAGGTTAAAATAATATCATATCAAGTAATACGCTCTTTGGAAGTGCTAAAAAAAACCTTCTTCAACCTGTTGCAACCGAGTCCAATACATTGATTTGAGCTTAAATCCTCCCTCTGCTGAGCAGATATCCAATTACAGCCTCCAGGGAGGCCAATACGTTTTCATTGGGAGTGGTGCTGCGCATACCCCCTTGAGATCCCCCCTCCTTATGCTTCTTTTATTGATCAGCTACCCTGTATCACTTCTAAAAACCAACAGCCTGAATATAGCACCATCTCACTCTCATTTAAAAGGAATCATTTAAAGAGAGTCCTTTATCTTCCCCCCCGAGGTTTCATCATCAGGATTTGTATTTATCTATGGATGAAACCACCCACATTGATTAAAGCTTCAGTCCCCGACGTCAGACTCAATAATACAGTTCTGATTTACGTCAACAGTTAGCCTTGTTCACATTTTGATCATTTATTTATCAGGTTTGCGAGCTTTTGGGGAATGTGGCAGAAATAGAAAAGAATAAAAGATCAGAAACCTTTTTTTGTGCTGATTGTCAGGAGTGAGGAGCTAAAAAGGAGAAAAAAAGAGAGAGAGAAAGAAAAGGGTTGTCAGTGTTTTTCTGAGAAAGGAAGGAAAGGGAGGGCAGGCGGTGTACTTTAAAATTCCGGGAGAAGGAATCCAAATCTCACTGGAGTAAATTGAGAAAGTTGTGTCCTATTTTGCAGCCTGACAGTAATGTATTGTCTAAGGGGAGGAGGGAGAAAACGCATACTGGAATAACTTGTGCCAATGTGAGTGGATTCCAAGCATGCATACAGGGAGGCTGATTTTATTCAGCGAAGGTAAGCAGTAAAAAAATCCCCCACGCAGGTTGAGGAGGTCTCAAATTGTTTGCGGCAACCTCATAAAGGATGGGAAATTGTGTTGGTTTTGCAGCTCAAGGTGAAGGACGAGGTTTGGTTGGAGCTGCCATGCACTGCCAAAAGCAATCGCCTTTATCATATTGATCTCCTGTGGCGTTTGCACCGGGGATTACCATGCAAAAACAAGATTATGCTAACAAAACATGTGACTGTAAATCGTCGGCTTCTTTTCAACACCACTAAATAGATCATGACCTTATTGCCATCTTGTTTGGAGCCACCTCCCCTCTCTCAGTGAAAAATGGTTTCATTTCATGCGAATGCTGCGTACCCGAGCCGCTATTCAAACATCTGAAATTAGAATTAATTTCAATTAATGCGGATGTATTTCCTCAGCCATGGACAGAGTTATCATCTTGATTAATTTACCCGTTTCAGCGACTGAATCGTATCATTTTCAGCCGAGTTAAAATAAAAGAATAATGGGAAGCCACTTTTTGACTCCTGCTTCATTTCTCCTGGCTGTTGCCTCCCAATTCAAGCAAGATAAAGCCATCCTTTATGATAGAATCAACCCCGTGGAAACATAAAACACAACAGAGAAAAACACCCAGGCTAAAGAAACCCAACGAGAGCGGCGGGCAGGGGCAATAGGTTTGCCGGAAAATGTTCAATGGACTATTGAATAGTGTCATTAGGAGTGGATTGCGCTATTTGCAGTGCTTCAAAGCCAGAGACTTGCTTTCAGGGTCAGGGGATAAGTGCGACCGGGCTCAAAGAAGTGTTTGGAAGAGAAGAGGAGGAGTGCTATTTAGGTATTATGGTGAACTATTTTACTGGGAGGAAGATTATTGTATGTTGGCTTCCGTTCTTTGAGGCCTTTCGTAGCAGGAGAGGAGACATCAAGCTGTTTTCATGCCCTATTTTACTTCCTTTTGTCCTTTTCTTTCTCTCTGTGTGCCGGGATGAAGAAATGAAAAAACAAACCGCAGGCATAATTAAACTCCGCCACGTTGCGTCTTAAGGGGAATACAGTTGAGTCCAATCCGATTGTGATTAAAAATGGAGAAAAGATACACGGATGACAAACAAGCTCCCTGGAGTTTAAGTGGCGCACGCTGCTTTCAGTGATGTCCACATTGTTTTTCCGTGTGGCTTAATCAAATGTCAGCGGCAAAGCTTGGGGATTTGTCGAACAAAAAAAACATCCTCAGCTGAGGATTTGGGAAATACTTGACTAAATTTACACATCCTGCTCCTGCAATACAGCTGTGGGGAGGGAAAAAAAGACATCAACAGTGAGTCATTTTCTGACTTGTAAATGGAAATTCAAAAGCAGACAAAACAGCAGGACACTTAATGGAAACTTATTTCTATCAGTTCAAATCATAAACTCTTCAAACGGCATTAAAACAAACGTTCAACCCGCAGACTCTTCAGACCGACCACATCTGAAGTAGTAAATTAGTTTTTGATTTATTTTGTTTTTGCTCAGGGGGATTCGACTTTGACGGTTAAGTGTTGCTTCTAGTATCTTTTATCTGCCGAACACTAAAGAGTCTTCAAAACACAATAAAATCAAAGATTCTCCCTTTCAACAATCATTCAGTCCCATTTGCAGAAGTGGAAGCGGCATCACAAACTTCAAACGTATTGTTTTTCTTAAAGATAACGTTTCTTCTCTTCCAAAAAGGACTAAAAAGTGGTGCTTACAGCTCAGCTCTTCAATGACAAAGATATCTTTCAGTCATATTCCAACCGAAATTCCAATTTAAGTGGCTCTCAGACGTCGGATCATATTTCGTGCAAATTGTAAAAGGGATTTGAGTCGAGAACAGTTTAAACAAATCCACATACATACTGAGAAAACCGTTTTTCCATATGCATCACATCACTGCACTGCTCAGTATCTCTTAGAAGTGCGCCATGTTGAGCTGACAGTTGTTTGGTAACCATCCACGCACGCTCCATCACATGACTGACTTCAACATTGTTTGCTATTAGGCTTATAAAATGTCAGCGGCAATGTTGTAGGATTTGGAAAACGCTGCCCGTGTCGGAGAACCTTTAACCGCAGAATGGCTTTATATTATAATCCTCTGAAGTCTTGTTTACTATACAACCAAAGCCCCCTCCTCCAAATGGGTGCAGCCGCTCTGAATGCTGCTCTTCACTCCTCGTCACAACAGCCTCTTCAGAAAATTGCAGTTGCAAAGTATGTAATTAGAATAATTGGCGATGAACAGCAGGCAACATAAATGTTCGACAATGTATGCACTGTTTGGATGTATATTATTTTATCAACTCAGTCCGCCCTGACTGTAAAGATGCTGATGCTGCAACTTGCAAATGCCACAAACAGCGAGGAGAAGGTCAGGAGGCTTTCAAACGCTCACGGGTGACGGCGCACCGTATGTTACAGACTCATACAGCAAATGAAAAGGAGACAGGAAGAAGCAAAGCATGTAATGAACATTATTAAATTCATCAACATTATTAAAAACGGATGTAGTAAGGATTCCCTGACTGTGAGGCCAACAGATGTAGAGCTCCCCCTTTAGTTATAAAACTAAAATGGAACTAAAATTCAAAAACATCACAAAACTTTTTTTTTTTTTTCTTTTTTCCACAAGTAAAACCTGGGCCTTTTTTTTTCTCCATTAAATTGACAAGAACCAAGTGGTGTTACATGATTGGAAATGATTTCTCTGGTGCTTTTTGGCATCCAGCTTGCCTCAAAAATCAGAGGATAAACTTTCTGAAAAATGCTGGACTTGGGTTCAGTTTCACCAACCAAGGATGCCAAATCAAAAGTTTCACAGAGGAGCTTCAAAATACTCAAAAATATCACATTTTGCAGCTGTTTTTACCACTTGAGAGTAAATTGCTGCACAGCAATGGAACGCAGGTCCTAGCATTGTGACCACTTTTGATTTATGTCACTCTAAGGGACCATTATCAACATCAACCAAAAGTTCCTTACAAGAGCTTTGAAGTACCCTGAAATTATCATACATACTTGTCCAAAATGAAGCTTTTTTGCCTCTTCATTGTAACCTTGACTTGGCCGTTGAACATTGGCATTGGGAGCATTGGGACCTAGCTTGCTGGCTCGCACAGTGTCTTTGATCGGTCATACATCTGTCTCAAAGTGGAGTTGCTTTTGCCGCTATGTTTCAACTTTAAATATTAGCCTTACAAGATTGAAGCGCAGAACCTTGCTGGCATATTTGCACATCAAGATTGCGAACTTTTGATTGATGTCACTGTGGTACTTTTAGAGTTCAGGTTTCTTTTCCTATCAAGATTATAAAGCCTATGTGTTATGGGAACTGAAGAAAGGACTTTAAAACTAATGTCAGCCTTGGTTTAACATATTGTGTTTACTAAAGTTGTGAAAAAAAAGTGTTTTGACCCAGTTAGCAAAATATAGCATCAACCAGGGGACTGTTGAACTGGCCAAAGTCAAAGTAAAGCTTTACAGTGGTAGATATAAGCTCTCTCTTCAATGTCAGAGAGGTTGGAGATCAACAGTCTCTGATTCGCTGCAGTGAGTTGGAGGGCCCTTGATGGAGTACAGCTCGTGTGTTCACTTGTGGTTGGCTCCATTACTTCTCCATATAGATGGCAGCAGGGAGAGGATCCCCAGCAAATTTGATCAGCGAGATTACAAACCACCCCGTACTAGATCATTTAAACCTCATCTCTGGTGCCTGCAAGGACCACGATACATTACTCCCTCCGCACAGGGTTCATCTATCAGTCCCCCTCCTCTCCACCACAAGTGCAGGTCTCCCAAGATCAGATGAAAAGGGGCGAGTGCTCCGACCAAGCTGGGGTCGCGATCACGGCGGGGTCAAGAGAATGTGAAGCAGCGGCGACACTGTCGAAATGGTCCTCTGAATGGGCGCAGATTCATCACGCGGGGGTGGCAGAAGGCAGGGAGAGGTGGCCTCGATGTAAGCTGTCTGCGATGATAGACGGCTGTACGAGTGTCTCGGAGCCCTCTGAGAGTGCTCTGCCCTGGTCTGCCCGTCGCAGAAGGACACATAATCTATTGCTGTAATTGGACGCCAGCAAAAGGGAAATCAAAAGTGGATTTGTGGTTAAGATGGAACATTCTGGTCAGGGATATATCACAACTGGCATCGTTTTCTGGAACCAGGTAGACTCGGGTCCATGTGTTATCAGTGTGTGATACATGCCTTGGAGATAACATGCTGACAGCTTTACAAACATACAAGGCCAGTGGAGCCAAATGGGAATTCCACTGATAAAACAAATGAATTTGTGGTTGTACCTCCAACATAACTCATTTAAAGGTATGAAACTTTTGTAATACATCTTAACCCAATGATAGTAAACGGGTTAATTTACATTCTGCCTGGAGAAAAGTGTCAAAAACTCACAATTCCAATGTGGCGCACATTCAAGAACAACAGGGCACAAGCTCAGCACATTGACAACTCTGGAATCGAACCCCTAACCTTCCGAATGAGTGACAACAGACTCCAACCAAGCCACAACTGCCAGCGCCAGTCACCCAACTTCTCATAACCCAACAAATATTGTATCTACCACATCATATCCCATTGTTTAATATCAAAGAATCACTAATGCCACCCTGCTTGAGCTAATTATTAATAAGTGATTAGTTACCGACCTGACCTAGTTTCCTCAGGCAGTTCCTTTCCGATTCTTAGATTCATGGCCCTTCAACGCTCCTCCCCTTGGACTTTCCAACTTGCCCCTGGAAACAACAAAAGACCTTTTAAAATGAGGATATCAAAGCAAAACATGGTACTAAAAAGTTCCTTTTCTGCAAAAGAGGGAAACGGTTTAATCAGAGAATATCTTTTTGAAGCTGAGAGGAGTCACGGCTTTGGCTGGCACCCTTAGAGACATTGACCGACTTATAATGAACTGGTGAACCGAGCGTTAGTTAAGAGCTCTGTGTAGGTATTTACTGGATCAAAACCACACAAAGGTATAAAAAGAAGGTCAAAAATGTAAGAAAAAGCTATGATAATGTGCTCGAAATATCAACAGCAATGTCTGCTAAATTTGCCAAGAAACAAAACAGTCCTTCAGCACTCCCTCGACAATAAAGCTCGACTTTGCAGACATTCTGCCCCAATCTACCACTCAATGCCACGCTCTCAGCCTCATTTGCATGTCGGTCTTGTTCACCCTTAATGCTGCAAAAATGTCCCAAGGATCTGAACCAGGGTGGAATTGGCCAACTGCCCTCAATTATTCATTTATTTGCCAGGATGCGTGTCAGGATTTGTAACCAGTGCATCCCCCTGACCTCTGCAGCAACACCTGTGCCAACAGTTTGCTTAAGCATTGAGATAATCACCCACTTAAACCGCTACTACTCCTTGTATTGTTTTAATTTGAAAGGGAACAACCTTGGTGTATATGGCGACATAAAAAAAAAAAAGAAAAAACAATAAAAGCAATCCACAGCTTCGCCTCCCGCCCCCTTCAGCTCATCCTCTGGAGAAACAATTATCATTCTTTACTGTGACTTTTAAGAGCTGCTAAAGGGCCAAGCCGAAACAACGACAAGGACGTCTCCCTGTTTATGCAATCGTGTGAATATTATATTTGCTCCCCGCTGTGAAGTTGGACTATCAGACTGATTCTCCAGCTATGCTCAGCCTTGCTATGTTACCCTTTTGTCCCTTTGCATCTCTAAACATTTTCTTTGCAGCTGTTTGACTTAATGCTGTCATTAGACTATTGGATCCTGTAGCCAAATTATAATGTGATCTCCCGCATCATCTATTCTTCTCTTCCCTCTGAGCTGATGAATAGCTTAAGGTCAGACTATCAAATTAGTGGCTCCCATTACTCCCCAGACACTAATGGCATCTTTATGAAAGGAAAGATATGTAATCTCTCCAAAAGCCCTTTTGGAGACAGAGCAGTTTGTCTGTAGATGAAATGTGAGTGCAGTGCATGGTGAATTGTAAAGTGCGTTGGGGAGGGGGCGGATGGCGCATACTGTGTGTCTGAAAAAGTCAAGCCGCGTTGCACTTTTTTTTTTTAGTTGCAGGTACACATATCTCACTGTTTTTCATTCATCTCACTCTGCTTGTAGTGGTCTGTTTACTTACACCCTTGGTGATGGGTTTTCTTATTCCGTCTTTACATGTTTTCAGGACATGGACTCATTAAATAGCTGAATGAACCTTGAGGGGTAATCATGTAAATCCACTGTGATTAAGTCCTAAGGTCCCAATCTACACTGTATTTTCTGTTGCTTTTTTTCCTTGTACACAAAGCTAATCAAAAGACGACGATGACTCAAACATGTATTCAGAGGATATTATAATTATTCCTCACATATGTTGCCTGCAAGTCATCTTATTTATAGCTCTCCATTGATACCACACAAACATCACAAACACAACATACTGTGGTACAGTCAATTAAAACAGGCATGACTCTTACGTGGAAATCACTGTATGGGCCTAAATTTGCTTCCAAAAACCATCGTCTGTGGACACTGTTTGTGTCATTTCTGGTTGTCTTAAACAGTATGTTTTGGAATTATAGGACAGGTTTATCAGATGACATCTTGATGAACAGAGAAAATGAGGAAACTCCTGTGAGCTAAGAAATCGACGTTTGGCGTTCTTTTTGGAAATCATGGACAACAGCTTTTTATCAGCACTTAGAATTGACAAATCTTTGTATCCTGCTTTTATATCATCGTACAACGCCTCTTAACTGTTTTCCGATTGAATTTATTTATTTATTTATTTTATGAAAATTTCAGCTACTTAGACATTCTTTTTGGAAATCATGGAAACTAAATACAATTAAAATTGGGCGTCCAGCTCAGGAGGTAGAACGGTCGTCCAATAACCGGAAGGTTGGCAGTTCGATTCCGCCCTATCCCCAGTCTGTCCGTTGTGTCCTTGGGCAAGAAACACCTTGCTCCCAGTGTGTGTGTCCTCCACCGGTTTATAATTGTGAGTGATGTGTGGTGGTGGTCGGAGAGGCCGTAGGCGCAAACTGGTAGCCACGTTTCCGTCAATCTGCCCTAGGGCAGCTGTGACTACCAAGGTAGTTTACCACCACCAGGGTGTGACTGTGTGAGCGAACGAATGATGTATTCCATGTAAAACGCTTCGAAGTCACTGACAAAAAGTGCTTTAAAATCTGATTTATTATTATCATAAATATGATCAACAGGGGCCATTCAGTGTTTATCAGCACAAATAATTGACAGACCATTATATTCTGTTTTTACAGCATCTATTTTCTAGATAAGAGTTTTTGTACAAATTAAATTTCCCAACACCTAGACGTTCTTTTTGGAACTCATGGACACTAAATTTGTTCCAAAAAAAAAAAAATGACACTCCCTTATTTTAATTTTTTTTAATCAGCACAAATATTTACCAAACCAACATATTCTGTTTTCTAACATCTCACCCCGTATCCTTACCCTTTCTAGAATAAATTACAAGTGAAATACAAAAAAATAGAGTTGCCCTCTGCTTGTCAGTTTAAGGCACTTTTGTTGTTGTTGACCATCTGCACAGTCTGCTTTGGTCTTCTCAACAATGACACAGACTTATGTTTTGTACATTTTGGACTTTGTTTGTTGTGTCTAATAATGAAGTTAGCTTGGAAACGTTTGTTCAATTACATGTTAAACATTTTTTTCAAAGGTGTCTGCACCATCAGTGCACCAAAATTGAGCTGCCACTCACTAAATCACATCTGTCTTGCTGTGTTTGAAATCCAACATCCTGCACTGCCTGGATTCTATTTGAATCCCCGCCCGCCCGCCCCCCCTGGAGGACAGAGACATGGGGGTGACTTGATCTCACACCAGGACTGAAACACACTCGCACAGCTTGGCTCCGGCGAGAGGCCCCCCACGGACTGCCGCAGTGGAAGTCCATCACCGGGTCACAGCCTCAATCCATCACTGTCTGCAGCCGCCGCCGCTTTCAAGAGCCAGAGGTCCAAGGAGAAGCCGGGAATGACTCAAGTCTGCGGCGCTGGGGTTCACGCGCCGGGTCACACACTTGATAACATATTGTGCTTTTCATAAACACTTTTCTTGTTAAGCACCCTCATTAAATCTGTACCAGCTTGATGCCAGACGGCGTAGTTAAGAGAGGTAGACGAGCTGCTCCG